TGAAACAACTTCATCTGCCGTCGGCGAGTCAACGCGAAGATTCTAAATCAAACTCATCACAACCTATTTCCAACTAAAACTATAGATTTTAACCTCAAGCTTCTCTAAAGCTAGAGCCAAGCCACCAATTGATGACGTTCCGCTCGACTCAGGTGCTTCAATATGAGACTCTGGTGCACAGTCAGCATCGTAAACGGGAAGATCTGAGCATGGAAAGCCAATTAGTAACTGGCAACATCCACAACAGACTACCATACCCTTTGCGGCACCCTGACTATTCGTTCTAAGACGTCTTGCATGTCGAGGAGCGTTCGATACCGTGATCCCAGCCACTTTAATTGCGAACCTTTTCTCCTCATCTACATCATGTTCCCGTTCAGTTTCTCCAGCACTACTTTCTTTAGCGCTAGTGTCTTCAGCTGCACTACATCCTCTAAAAAAATAAAAATACGACGTTCTAAACATACCTTTTGAAAAAAAAAGTGGCCACCTTTTACTGCGTCTGTATTCTCGGTCGCTGACTTCATCACTAAGTAACAAGGTTTCATCTTGTTCTCTGCCTGTCACTGGACCAGATCTGGCGACTACTACAAGTTTGAGGGTAGACCCTTCTCGGATTCCTATAGTGTCCATTTCTACAGCGTCAGGTAGAGATCTTCCAGCAAAAACCTATAATTACCACAAAATGGGTCAAACAGTCACAAGTTCAGCGGAAAGAAAGAATATCAAAGTGGATCTTTTATAAGACGAAAACTCGTTGGGCCAGCATCGCAAAAAAATAATCTATGCCTATTCAAGTCAAACGTTGCCTAACATCTCAGACAATTCTATGTTTATGCTAAAGCTGTTCTCCTATGTTTACGTCTCATAAAAGAAAGCTTTCGAATCATTAGAAGTAAGAGAATGCGGAAGGTGTGATAAGTGTTTAAAATTTCTAAACTTATGAATGTTTGATTGCGAAAACTTTACAGTCAATGGCAAGTCAAAAACATCCAAGAAGAAAGAAAATAACTGGAAAATATGCTTTAGAGT